ACCATCTTTATCTTTATCTGTTGTATTCTATTGAATGCACAGACCAGCCTTGACACAATAGGGGAGGGGAATACACAAGGACACAAATACAAGGAGGCAGGGATTACTGAAGGCCAGCTTGGAGGTTAGCTTCCACAACACCTCAGACTCAACAGATCCACAGTTAACTTTCTTCCCTCCACCCTTCCTCTCAAATCTGCCTTAAGCCACAATCTGAAAATCATTTTTGATTGCTCCTCCCTTAAACTTGTTCTCCAATCAGCCACTGATGCCAGTCCATCTCTCCTCCTTAATATCTCTGCAATCTACCCATTATTTCCATGTTTAGTGCTTGGCTATACCAGTTTTTTCCTGGATCCTTTTGGTTCTCACCCAGTCTCCCTGCCTCCTGTCTTACCTGCTGCCAGTCTATTCAGCATGCTGTTGCCAGAATGATATTTACATAATCAAAACTCTTCCAAGGCTTTCTGTTGTCTTCAGAGTAAAAACCAAGCTCCTTAGCATGGGACACAAAGCCACTGAGGATGCAGCTGTTCTCACCACACCCGTCTTTGAATGCTTCCTTCTGGCTAAGATGCACCATTTGCAGTTCTCAGAAAAACCCAATGCTGCTGAGCTGATTCTAACTGACTCACAGTGACCCTACAGGACAGAGTAGAACTGCCTATAGCGTTTCCAAGGCTATATGTAATCTTTACAGAAGCAGACTCCCACAGCTTTCTCCCGTGGAGCAGCTGGTAGGTTTGAACCACTGATCTTTTGGTTAGTAGCCAAGCCCTTAACCACAGCGCCACCAGGGCTCCTAGTTCTCAGAAGGTGCCAGGATAATTCACGTCTCTGGGTCTTTTCATACGCTGTTCCCTCTTTTTTGGAATATTCCCTCCCACTTCTTTTACCAGGTTAACTCTGATTCATTTTTTCAAAACTAAGCAGCTAGAGAGAGGAATTGTCATCTCTGTATCTCAACACCTGGCATGGTACCCACCATAGGGAAGTTACTCAACGAACGTCTGCTGAATGAACAAATGAGTGCACAGGCAGTTCCTGTGTTCCTGCCTGGTGCCCCTGTGCAATACTCGGCATACAAGGCATAGCTGGCCCGTAGCTCAGTCACTTTCCCCCCTTGGACTGCCTTTCCCAGCCCAACCTTCTCCCTTTGCATCAATGACACAGCTGGAAAAAGAAATGCTAGATTCTCTCCCACCTCATTCCGTCCTAGCTCCGTGACTTTGGGAAAGTCATTTATTCCCTCTGAGCCTCTAGTCTTCATCTACAATAAGGGTTAATAAAAAGGAGAGAGTAAGAGGAATTACTTAAATTAATACTGTGCCAGGCACTCTTAAATAAATTAGCTTGAGTGATAGTCACAATATCCTTTTGAGACAGATTTGTATACCCTTTCTACAGAAGAGGAAACTGCAGCTCAGAGCAGTTAGGTAGGTAACTTGGCCAAGATCATAAAGCTGAAGATTTGGGATGAGTAGTTGTATCATACCGAACCAAACCAAATCCATTGCCATCCAGTCAATTCTGACTCCTAGCGACCATATACGACAGAGTAGAACTGCCCTATAGGGTTTCTAAGGCTGTATGTAATCTTTACGGGAGCAAACTGACCACATCTTTCTCACGCGGAGCGGCTGGTGGTTTCAAACCGCCGACATTTTGGTTAGCAGCCGAGTGGTTTAACCACTGCACCACCAGGGCTCCTTTTGGTTGTATCATAGACTACATTTAAAAAAAAAAAAATTCAGCATCCTGAAAGACTGGAATGTTCTGATTCTCACAGTCTTGTTCACGTCTCAGATCTCAAGGATAGAGGTTCTGCCATTTCCCATCTGGCCAACATTTGGTGAGCACTGCATTTTAACTCCAGGCCCAAGCCCCTAGGCTTCCCCCAGTTGGCCTCTATAGATTCTGACAATGGTTTTCTGCATTCCTTCTGCACCTTTACATGGAAGCATTTTTTACAGCTGTCATATCTTGCTAGATCTTCTGAGTAAGGAAGTTAACAAGTCTTCCCATTTTATAGGTGAGAAATTGAGGCTCAGAGTGACTCACCATATGGCATTTCTCACGAACAGGAAGACACTGGTCTCCGCCAGGGGCTAACATGTCCATGGAGCCAAGTGGACATGTTTTCTAATTGACTGGAGGCAGAAGAGTGGCACTGTGGAAGAAGAACCATTAGTGGAATCAGACAGACCTAGGTTTTGATCCCAGCTCTTCTATTTGCAAAACTACCATAGTTCAAGGGGAGAAAAAAAGTAGCATAGTTCAGAAAGAGTAGGTCTGTTCTAAGAGCTGATCTTCTAGTCTAAGCAGAAGAGAGCTTAGAAGCTCCTTGAGGGTAGAAACCTTGTCTTACCTTTATGTCCCCGATGCCTAGCACAGTGCCAGGGACATACCTAGTGCTCAATAAATGTTTATTGACTCAAACGGAATTTGGAAGGAAGGAGGCAGGCGAGGGACCTTGAGGGAGTTTAGAATCAAGCATCCAAGGGGAGACAGCCTAGAAAGACTGGGTCCAAGACAGAGACTCCAGGCATTTGAGGTCCTGGTTCCCTTACTCCAAACCATCTGGAAAATGCTCCAGAGGTACAGGGTGCTGTGCCTTTAAATGACTTCAGCGTTGTCAATGAATCTGCTCTGCTAAAAGAGTTATCCTCTTGCTCCTGCGCTTGGCCTCCCCCTCCTCTCAGCTCCCCAAACCCTTCTCAGCCGCTGTGATGGGATAATTAGATGCGAGAGCTGAGCACAGATGATGCTACAGTTGCTTAGCAACTAATGGTTTCCATGGAGACCGCAAAGCACAGCCTCCAGAGCAGCCAGTGAGCAGCTCGGCAGGGCAGGGAGAAGACGCAACTCTCCGCTCCTCCAGAAAGCTGGGGCGGGCCAGGGCTGGGGAGGGGGGAGGATTGGTGGGAGAAGGGAGGGCTTAAAGGCACAGGGCCCTCTTATCCCATTAAAATCTGATCAGAGCTCTGCCCTCCCCTCCCCTACTCTGCCCCTCTCATAATTTCAGACTAGAATGAGGGCTCAGGAGTGAACCCAACACAACCCACCCTGCAATAAACTCTTCTCTTGTCTGCTTCCTGAATTGTCACTGAAGTGGAGACTAGACACTGCCCGCCCCCCACCCCACCAAAGCCAGCTCAAGTGTAAACACCCTTCCTGGTTAGTGGTACGATTTGAGGAGCATCAGGAAGACTCCTCCACCCCTGGAATTCCACCTTTAGTGTGCAAGTTCCCTTTAGTGTGTGAAAGGTCCTCTTTCAGTTTGTAGAGTGAGTGCTAGGATCTTATCTGAACGGGGACAAAAGGTGCAGAGAAACAATTAAATTCTTCACCAAAAGGCAGCCTGTCCTGGGAGACTGGGGAGAAGCACCTGCCTCTGAGCGCTGTCAAAAAGGACCCAGTGTGTGTGTGTGTGGGGGGGGGGGCAATACAGAGCATGTGGCAACTTAACTGGGATTCTCCCAGACCAGCATCATTTGTGCTACCTGGCAACTCCTTAGAAATGCAGAATTTCAGGCTTCACCTCAGATCTACTAAATCAGAAACTGCATTTTAACAAGATCCCTGGTAATTCATATGCACATTAAAGTTTGGAGAGGCACTGCTCTAAGACCCTCCTACCCTCTGCTTGGGCCCCTGAGTTCTGTCTTTACTGTTGTCCCTGTTCATATCCCAGGCTTTAAGCTTATCCTTCCCACCCAGGGGGTGAGGACACAACCTTGCCAGCTCCTCACTTCCCACCAGGACCCAGCCGTTGCAGGGCTGGGGAAAACAGAATGGCGCATGGAGCAAAGAGACAGTACATCCACAGTCTCTAGGGTTCTCTGACCTCTCTCCACAAAGTGCTCAACCTTTAACAAGTGCCCCCACCTCTCGGTTTCCACATCTACAAACCCGTTGCCATTCAGTCAGTTCCGACTCACAGCGACATAGGGTTTCCAAGAAGTGGCTGTTGGATTTGAACTACCAACCTTTTGGTTAGCAGGTGAATGCCTAACCACAGGCCACCAAGGCCGTAAAAGAGAGCATCAGTATCTACCTCTCAGGCTGGCTATGAGGACTAAGTCTGTGGGAGCAGGCAAAGCCCTGTCCAGGCCCAGAGTAGGTGCTTCCTGCTCGCCTCTCCTCTCCCTCTGGTGGCACCCCTCCCTCACTTCTAACGGAGGACGGGTGGGTATGCAGTCCGATAAGCTGTGGCTTTTTTGTTTTCTCTTACGGGGTCTCTTTCTCTTCTTTACTCTCAATCAGTTCAACAAATGGTTGCTGACCAGGGCTCCCTGTGCTCCCCCCCTCTCCCGACACCCTTGCAGAACTAGGTAGGTGTCTACCCTCTGGTCTCCCCCGACGTCTCCCCTGACACTCCTCGGCCACACCCTCCAGAGGAATCTGAAGCCTTAGACATTTGGCCTGACTGCTCTGTGCCTGTGGCCAGAGGGCCAGGTCTCCTTGGCACCGACAACCCCGCCTCTCCAAGAGCTGCAGGAGCTGGGCCTCATCAACACTGAGAACTGCAGCTCTAGGCTTGGCTGCCTCACCCCTACTACCAGTCTCAGTTTCTCTCCCATCCTTTCCCAGCGGAAGCCCTTTCAGGATCCCCTCAGCCTTACTCTCTTCTTCCCACACAACATGCAGCCCTCCTGGGAAGACCCCAATGCCTGGGGGTGGGGGGCAGTCCTCTAAAGTCGGGCTCCAGATGCACATGGCGCTGGGAACACTGTGCTTAGACATGTGAGTCGCAGAAGAAGGGGCGATTCCCACCCCCCACCGTAGTCGCCCTACCCCTCAGCAGCTGTCTGAGCCTCTGGATCCTGCCTGGGCATTCCCCCCTCCCCAGGGGAGGATCAGCTCCCCATCCTGAAAAACCTGTCCGGGGGCTCCCGCTGAGGCTGTAGGGCCCATGGGGCAGGTTGGACAGGATTCCCCTCGAGCCCCTCCCACCCCCAGGACAAAATCAGCCACCCCAGGGGCAGGGCCTCACTTGCTTCTAGAAGCCACAGCGTGCCAGGGCCCATTCTTGCTCCCAGCCCAGCCATCACCACCCATGGCATCCCTGCTGCCCGTCCGGACCTTGCCCTCGATCCTGATCCTGCTGGCGGTCCTAGCCCCAGCGGCTGTAGGTCTCTTGGGGGGGGGCACGGCGGAGTAGGGGGACCTGGACAGCAGGTGCTGTGCCTTCCAGGGCCCTTAAAGGGGAGCTGCCTGGCCAGTTGGGGTCAGGAGATGGTGGTGTCAGTGACCAGGCATCGGAGAGTGGGCCCAGGGCACACTCCTGGTCCCCTTCCAGACCCAGGATGCAGGCAGTGTGAGGAAGGGTGGAGGTGAGATGGGCGCTGTCCTGCTCCTGGCACTCAGGGTCTGGCTGGGGGACATGAGCTGAGTATCAGCGTCTGCAGCCCAAGCCTGCCACCTGGTGGCTAGACCAGCACAGGCCTGGCTGCTCTGCCAAAGAAGGACTCTGCATTCTTAGAAATGGCCCTGGGGGTGGGGGTGAAGGGCAGGGCAGATCTTATGGCAAGGAGGGGAACTGATCCTCACCCGAACTCCCTCCTCACCTCCTGACAGACTTCAACATCTCAAGCGTCTCTGGTGTGCTGTCCCCTGCGCTAACGGAGAGCCTACTAGTTGCCTTGCCCTCCTGTCACTTCACAGGGGGCAACGCCACGCTGATGGTCCGTAGAGCCAATGACAGCAAAGGTCTGCTATCCCCTCCCAAGGTGTCCCCTTTGTCCCCAGAGACCCTTTCCCAAGATACCCTCACCTCCCTTCCCCCTTTCATGCCTTGGTCAACCCTTCTCCTGGGGCATCCACACTCTAAATGCTGCCCCTTCACCTTGGGGCCTCCGGAAACTTGACCCTGCCTTCAACCCCTAATTTCTTGCCCAGTGGTAAAATCCAGCTTCGTGGTGCCTCCATGTCGCGGGCGCAGGGGGCTAGTGACTGTGGTGGACAGTGGGGCTGGCTTCACGGTCACTCGGCTCCGTGCATACCAGGTGACAAACCTCGTACCAGGAACCAAATACTAGTAGGTACCTGACCTGGGCCTAGGGTACCTGTTGGGGGGTTGCAGGAGGAGAAGCTGGGTACTGGCACTTGCTGGTGGTGGAGGGGATCTGGTCAGCACGGGGGAGAGAATGGAGATACAGTTACGGGGTGTAAAGAATGGGTCCCTCTTGGAGGAGGGCACATATGGAAGGCACAGCTGTGTAGTCCCTCCTCCCCTAAGTCCCAGTCACTCACTGGAGTATTCGCTCCTTTCTCTCTCGCAAACCCCCCCACAAAAGCATTTCCTACCTAGTGAAGAAGCGGACATCCACTGAATACAGTAAAGAGATCCCAATGTCCACACTTTCTCGTAAGTAATATCCTCCATCCTGCTCACTCTTCAGGGCCTACCTCCCACACAACACCTTCTCTGGCCCCTCCCCATCCACCCCCCAGTCTGGGTCATCCAGTCACTCCCACACCCTGCCCCATGCCCACTCCGTGCTTCCTCAGTGCCTTCCTTCCCTCTATCAGCACTGAACACTTCGCGTTTAACTGCCTATTTGCTCATCTGCTACATTACTAAACTGAAGGTTCTTTGTGGGTAGGGATTGTGTCCTATTAATTTTTGTATCCTCAGGGGATACAGGGGATGCTTCATAAATGTTTATTTGATGCTTGTTTGGATCCACGGGTTCATTGGTTGGTTGGTTGGTTGGTTGGATGAATACATGGATGAATGGACGGATGGATGGACAGATGGACAGATGGATGGACGGAAGGACGGATGGATGGATGTGGGGGCTAGGCTGAGAGTCTTGGGCAAGACAGGACCCCTGCCCACCAGGGACTCCTGCTCTCTTTTCTCTGACAGGAAGGAAGATGGAGTCCATTGGGTTGGGAATGGCCCGAACAGGGGGCATGGTGGTCATCACAGTGCTGCTCTCCATCGCCATGTTCCTGCTGGTTGTGGGCTTCATCATCTCCCTGGCATTGGGTGCCCAAAAGTGAAAAGGCCTGCACTGAGCAGCAGGCTCCTCCAGGAAGCCCAGGGCACTGTCTACTTCCCCAGCCCAGGGCTTTGCCTTTAGCTCCTGCCTCCTCTCCTGAAAAGGCTGCCCCTCCTAGTCCTCAGTCACCAGCATTCGACTCCTTTAGTTCCTTCACCTTCCCTTCCTTACCCCTCTCCACTACAGCCCTTTCCTCCTTCAGTCTCTTCTTGCCCCTAATGCCTCACCTTTCCTCAAGACTCCCTATTATCCCCCTCCCACCACTGTCAGAGTTTACTTTCCTTCACTTTCACCATTCACACCCCCCCCCCAACAACTTACGCCTCCCTCAGTAAACTAAGTCCCTACAATAAAGTGGGATGCCACCTCTGCCGTGTGTGCTTCCTTTAGTGGGCTCCACTTTGCATGCACCTATGGAATCTATGCCCAGGCTGCAGGTGTTCCTGGTCCCCTCCCTGCTCTGTAACCCCAAAGTTGCTTTTCCCATGAGGTATGAAGGAGCCAGATGAGATAAGAACCCAGGAGTCAGAGTTCACAGACCCACACCTGGGTGGGTTTTCATCCCCACAACTGACCACACAACCAGGGGGCTGGGCAGAGGCTGGTGTACCATGTGGGGGCCAAGAAGCCAGAGGGGCCAGGGGCGGGGGAGGTTGGCAGAGCAACCGGGCATGCTGAGGAGAAGAGTAGAGGCTCTGACTGGGGAAAAACAAAGACAGGACCAACAAGGTGAAAAACAAGGATGGGGTGTCTGTGGTGGGGGGAAAGGAAGAATCGGCTAAAGGGTGTCTAGGAGGAGAGGGCAGAAGTAGAAGAACCCTGGATGGAGGGGGACAATAGTGGTACAGTCTGGTACTAAGGGAAATGAGCAGGGTGGTTGCCCTCTTTCACTTTTGCCCTCTCCAATATATATTCCCTGTAAGGATCAGTGGTCTTTAGATTGCTCTTAGGGTAAAGACCAAAATCTCTAAGGTGACCTTCAAGGCCAGACCTGGTCCATCCCCTAACTGCCCCTTCATCTTTCACCATGTTCCCTCCAATGTCCTATGTTCCTTCTTGCCTCAGGGCCTTTGCACAGACTATTCTATATGCCTGGACTGCCCTTCCAACTAACTCCCCCCCCCACACACACACCAAACTCCCTCCTATTTGCACAGTTAATTCTGAATCATCCTTCCAGGCTCAGCTCAGTGTCCTTTCTCCAGGGAAGCCATCTCTGGCCTCCACTCCTCTCCATTAGGTTGGGTCCCCCTATCCTGTCTTTCATATCATTACCATAGTTTGTAATTATATGTTGTGTGATTATTTGTTGTCTCTCCCACCAGACTGTAAGCAGTCACTTTGCTCCCCAGGGCCAAGCACAGTACCTGGGACACAGCAGGTTCTCAATAAATACTTTTTGAATAAACAAACAAATGAATGAATGAAAGAATAAATGAGCCCTTGAGGATAAAGAAGGGGCTGGGAAAGTGGTAAAAATTCTGGGAAAACAATCAGACAAGACTCAGAGAGCAGGGAGTTAGAAGACGTTGGAACATGGCTTTGATGACCCCTTTTTAGGGTAACCCAAGAGCCCTGGAGAGGGAAGGAACGGAAGAGAAGGACAACAAGCTGTATTCATTCCATAAACACTAACTGAGAATTTATCATGTGTCACATGTTATTGAAGGTGCTAGGAATAATCTGTGAAAAAGACACTGTCTTAGTTATCTAGTGCTGTTGTAACAGAAATACCACAAGTGGCTTTAATGAACAGAAATTTACTTTCTCACAGTTTAGGAGGCTAAAAGTCCAGCTCTAGGGGAAGGATCTCTCTTGCTGTCTACTCTGGGAGGGAAATCCTTGTTTCAGCTTCTGTAGCCAGCGTTCCTCAGTTCTTTGGTGATATCCAAGTGGCGTTTATTGTTTTCCCCACTTATGCTGGCTTGCTTCTGTACCTAATCCACTCTTTCTATATCTCAAAAGTGGTTAGGTTTAAGACACTGACATGCTCTCATCCACATAACAAAGAAAACTCT